TGTTTAGAAGTTCATCAATGGGGAGAGGCCTCTGTTAGGGCCGTTTTTATGAAAGACCTTGTAATGATCTTCTAAGTATGGAAGGTCCTCCACATATGAAATATTTTCTCTAAGTCTTTTTTGAAGAATATTTTTAAACGGTCCTATAAAGAAAGAGGACCTTTAATAGGTTTTTATAGATGACACGCCTCTGTAGCTCTTCCAGTGATAGAAGTCTTCTTCTTCTTCTTCTTCTATGAGTATAAGACTATCTACCGACGATCTAAGAATAGAAGACCTTCTCCTAAAAACGTTCTCCCAGTCTCCTATGTTTAAATGTCCTCCTCCACGTCTTATATTAGTAGAAGACCTTCTCCAGTCCTTCTAAGAGTAGAAGACCTTCTCCAGGTCTTCTATGAGTGGCGGACCTTTTCAGGGTCTTCTATGAGCAGAAGACCTTCAACAGGTCTTCTATGAGCAGAAGACCTTCACCAGGTCTTCTATGAGTAGAGGACATTTTCCGGGTCTTCTATGAGTATAAGACCTTCTCCAGGCCTTCTAAAAGCCGAAGACCTTCACCAGGTCTTCTTTGAGTAGAAGACCTTCTAAAGGTCTTCTATCAGTAGAGGACCTTTTCCGGGTCTTCTTGTATTCTATGAGTATAAGACCTTCCCCATTCTTATATGAGTATAAGACCTTCCTTCAGGCCTTCTAAGAGTTAAAGACCTTCTCCAGGCCTTCTAAGTGTAGAAGACCCTCCCCAAGACCTTTTCCAGGCCTTTTAAAGGTAAAAGACCTTCTGGTCTTCAAAAGAGTAGAAGACCTTCTCTAGGTCTTCTTAAAGTAGAAGACCTTCTCCAGATCTTCTATGAGCAAAAGACATTCTCCAGGTCTTCTATAAGTAGAAGGCCTTCTCCAGGTCTTCTATAAGTAGAAGATCTTCTCCAGGTCTTCCCTGAGTATAAAGCCTTCTCCAGGTCTTCTCTGAGTGGAAGACTTTCTCAAGGTCTTCTATGAGAAGAAGAAGACCATCTCTAGATCTTCTATGAGTAGAAGACCTATGCCTTTTTTTGAGAAGAACTTCTCAAGCTCTTCTTTGAGAAAAATGCCTTCTCAAGGACCTCTTTGAGAAAAAGTTATTTTCAAAAGGTCTTTCTGAGAGAAGAAGACCTCAAGGTCTTCTGAGAGAAGAAGACCCCCTCATGGTCTTCTATTAGAAGTCCTTCTCAAGGTCTTCTATGATAATAAGGAGACCTTCAAATGGCCTTCTAATAGGGGGAGAGTTTATCAAGACAGGCAGGAACAAATAGAATTTGTTTTTCTGATATTTTATGCATTGGGGTAGATGAACCTGCACAGATCTCTGGTACTTAGCAAAAATTTGGAACAACTACCTACCCTCCCTTTACCAATGAGCAAAAAGTAACGACAACTGCATACTCTCTGCATTACCAGTAAACTTATGAAAAAAGGGCTATTCTCCAAAACAATTACAAAACCGAATATCTTACTTTTACCTCTCCATGTAATGAGTAAGTGAGTGATGAAAAGGAAACAAATATAAATGCAATTGCTCTTGCTCTGAAATGGAACCAAATATAGATACAATATCTCTTAAAATAGGACGACTGTTTTTTTTTTTTTTTTAATTTTCCGACTCTTGCCTCTTGGTAGCAGTTGGAATGGACAAACTTCTCATGACATGTCCATCCTAAAGTAAGGGGTATGAGATGCAGTTTTGTAAGTTGTGATGTCATAAGGAAGGAAGGCGGCGGAACCCTGGCAAATAAAATGCCAAAATGTATTCAGCGACTTAAAGTGCCGTAAAATTCAATGGCTGACCCTCGGCTTAAAGAGAAGCATTCCGACAAGTTTTCTTTTTTGTATGAATAGCATCCATTTATCCCAGCTCATGCATTCATTCGTTGTTCCCCTCTTCCTGCCATCATCATCGGTGTGTGCCTCCATAATCAATGAGCAACATCCCCGATAGAGAGATGGTATAAATATTGGCCCATTTAAGTCGGCAATCTGCCCACAGGTCTATCGTCATCATCAGCAGTCATGCCCGTGATGGCTGGCTGGAAGGCTGATGGATAAGGGGCGAGAGGGGGAGGCTTGGCATATGATATTGATAATACCCTGATATAATGCTGCTGATTCCTGTGCCAAAGACGGCGATTATTGCCGTTGACGAACAGCCAACTGGATTGAATTGTGAATTGTAGGCGTTCTAAGTTAAATGATTTTGCGTTGACTGTCAGCGTTCTAAAACGGCCGTTTATCTTCAGCTGTAAATGGGTTTCTTTCTTTTTTTTTTGTTTCCAAAGAGGCATCAAAGTCGTCACAGTTCTTTACAGTTTTCTATTTCGCACTCTGCTATCAGATTGGTTAGTTGATTTGTTCATTTGCTTTTAGCACGTGCTTCTTGGCAGTAATTGTGAGAGCCATCATTCCGATTGCCAAAGAAAAAAGAAAAGAGATTGATGAGAAGAGGGGCTACAAACAAATGTTGGAGTATCATTTTTTTCTGTGTGTTTAAATTTTGAAGTGGCCTCTTCTATTTTAAAGTTTCTTCAAATGTGTGTTGCATACTTTAAGGCGTTAATATAATTGATTGATTGATTGCCTACCAGCTTAAGCGAACGAGCGAGCGAGCAATCAATTAACATTTCCTCCAGATAATTGGCTGTAACGATGATGAAATTCACACGAAATTGGCGTTATACAAACATACAAATATACATGTGTGTGTAATTTCCCCATGTGGGATTAGGGAACATTTTACAATGTGTGTGCTGCATACTTTTAGGCGATTACATATTAATTGTATTTTAATTGCCCTAGCAGCGTTGATGGCATTATGTTTCATAGATTAAAGAGATTAAAATGGATTTGCAATAATTCTAATATAATGAGGGGGTGTGTGGGGGAGGGGGTAATACCAGGGAGGATAAGTAGGAGCACAATTTTGCGTAGTATATCCTAGTTTCATTAAATTGGCGCGACTTAAAAGAAAAAATGTTTACAACAGATGTTCTATAGATATAAAATGTTTAGAAGTTCATCAATGGGGAGAGGCCTCTGTTAGGGCCGTTTTTATGAAAGACCTTGTAATGATCTTCTAAGTATGGAAGGTCCTCCACATATGAAATATTTTCTCTAAGTCTTTTTTGAAGAATATTTTTAAACGGTCCTATAAAGAAAGAGGACCTTTAATAGGTTTTTATAGATGACACGCCTCTGTAGCTCTTCCAGTGATAGAAGTCTTCTTCTTCTTCTTCTTCTATGAGTATAAGACTATCTACCGACGATCTAAGAATAGAAGACCTTCTCCTAAAAACGTTCTCCCAGTCTCCTATGTTTAAATGTCCTCCTCCACGTCTTATATTAGTAGAAGACCTTCTCCAGTCCTTCTAAGAGTAGAAGACCTTCTCCAGGTCTTCTATGAGTGGCGGACCTTTTCAGGGTCTTCTATGAGCAGAAGACCTTCAACAGGTCTTCTATGAGCAGAAGACCTTCACCAGGTCTTCTATGAGTAGAGGACATTTTCCGGGTCTTCTATGAGTATAAGACCTTCTCCAGGCCTTCTAAAAGCCGAAGACCTTCACCAGGTCTTCTTTGAGTAGAAGACCTTCTAAAGGTCTTCTATCAGTAGAGGACCTTTTCCGGGTCTTCTTGTATTCTATGAGTATAAGACCTTCCCCATTCTTATATGAGTATAAGACCTTCCTTCAGGCCTTCTAAGAGTTAAAGACCTTCTCCAGGCCTTCTAAGTGTAGAAGACCCTCCCCAAGACCTTTTCCAGGCCTTTTAAAGGTAAAAGACCTTCTGGTCTTCAAAAGAGTAGAAGACCTTCTCTAGGTCTTCTTAAAGTAGAAGACCTTCTCCAGATCTTCTATGAGCAAAAGACATTCTCCAGGTCTTCTATAAGTAGAAGGCCTTCTCCAGGTCTTCTATAAGTAGAAGATCTTCTCCAGGTCTTCCCTGAGTATAAAGCCTTCTCCAGGTCTTCTCTGAGTGGAAGACTTTCTCAAGGTCTTCTATGAGAAGAAGAAGACCATCTCTAGATCTTCTATGAGTAGAAGACCTATGCCTTTTTTTGAGAAGAACTTCTCAAGCTCTTCTTTGAGAAAAATGCCTTCTCAAGGACCTCTTTGAGAAAAAGTTATTTTCAAAAGGTCTTTCTGAGAGAAGAAGACCTCAAGGTCTTCTGAGAGAAGAAGACCCCCTCATGGTCTTCTATTAGAAGTCCTTCTCAAGGTCTTCTATGATAATAAGGAGACCTTCAAATGGCCTTCTAATAGGGGGAGAGTTTATCAAGACAGGCAGGAACAAATAGAATTTGTTTTTCTGATATTTTATGCATTGGGGTAGATGAACCTGCACAGATCTCTGGTACTTAGCAAAAATTTGGAACAACTACCTACCCTCCCTTTACCAATGAGCAAAAAGTAACGACAACTGCATACTCTCTGCATTACCAGTAAACTTATGAAAAAAGGGCTATTCTCCAAAACAATTACAAAACCGAATATCTTACTTTTACCTCTCCATGTAATGAGTAAGTGAGTGATGAAAAGGAAACAAATATAAATGCAATTGCTCTTGCTCTGAAATGGAACCAAATATAGATACAATATCTCTTAAAATAGGACGACTGTTTTTTTTTTTTTTTTAATTTTCCGACTCTTGCCTCTTGGTAGCAGTTGGAATGGACAAACTTCTCATGACATGTCCATCCTAAAGTAAGGGGTATGAGATGCAGTTTTGTAAGTTGTGATGTCATAATGTATTTCATAAATTCATTATTTGGTAATGCCATTTTGGGTGAGGTGGTGAAAGAAGATCTGGTATAAATTTACTATTCATATATGACCCTCTGCGGGTCTTTTATATATAATATCTCTAACTTTTACTGATTTTGCCTTTTGATTTTTAATATTCTCCCCTTTATCTTATCTCCTCCAAATTCTTTAATTAAATACTAATAATTATTATTTTTTCTTTCTTTTTTTCAGAGCTTTCCAAATCCCCTGTTAAATAATTAAGTAAGTAAGTAATTGACGGAACGTTAAGTTAATAATATTCGTTCATGTTTATTTATTGATAATTATCATATTTATTGTATGGCCTATTCGGAAGATTAACTCCATTGTTTGGCCATCGGCCAAGTTCAAATGGGAATTTATCGATTTCGTTATTAGTTCAGTTTTTTTTTATTGATTCTTATCCGACAACCATTCTCTTCGTCCAACACCACCACCACACAACTCACAAAGCCAAAGTAGCGTCGCGAGAGAGTGACGAACAGTCATTATTGAATGTCAAAATCATTAACAATCTCATTATCGACTGATTGACGGACAGACAGACAGAACTTTGATGTATTCATAATTTGAATGAAAGATAAATGAACAGTTAATGGCCGGGACAACATTCGGTTGGTTGGTTGGCTGGTGGCTGGCTGCTTTGTTTGTCAAGAGCAAATAATTCCAAACCAACCGATTGCTGGCTATGGCTCGGCTGGCTGACTGGCCGGTTGTTTGACTTTCCGATAACAAATCGAAAAAAAAAAACGTAGAAGTAACAGCAATATCTTCCCTCCATCCATCCAACCATTCCCAAAGGAGTATTGAATCATTCATTCACTCAACCTTAAATTGCCTATTTTCAATCAATAAAAGACAAAATCATTCTTGTCGTCGTTGTCATCACCATCCGTCAATGATGATACATTAATGTTAATTTTATATGCAAAGATTGGATAAAAGAGAAAAAAAGAACAACAGCAACATCAATATTATTATTTATGAATATTTAAAAATAAATTGAACGATAAAGAGAGAGAAAAAAATAAATAGATTTCCAGTTGAATGGATGAACAAATAATGGGGGGATTTTTTTGCAAGATTATTTGTCACGCATTGTGAGAATTCAATTACATTCATATGCGAACAGGTCAATGTCGCTTTAATTGGATGTAGAAGTTATTTTAAATGCTTTCTAATTTATTTTAAATAATTTCAGTCATTTAAACGCCTAAAAGTATGCACGGAAATGTATATTTTACAGATATTTATTTTTTCCGGTCTTGATACGAAGGTGGCGTTATTTATGTCATATATGCATATCGACATTAAGATGGCGCTTCTTAGATTATGTACCAAAATTCCATGCTATTCTTTAGCTATAACTTTGCTTCCTTTCAGGACTTTTTCAAAAATCTCCATATTTCTAGGTTTGACCTCAACTGCTTAGTTCCCTTTTAATGTTATTTTTTATACCCTCGGCCATATGGCTGCATAGGGTATATATCATTTGATACGGCCAAAACGTGCCTAGTCGAAATAACGGTTTTAGACCCTAGGTCTATAGCGATGTCGTCCGTCCGTCCGAATGTCTGGCTGGCTGGCTGGTGCGCACGATAACTCTCAAGGGAGTATCCAATTTGATCTAAACTTGGTACATTGTAATATTTTTGTCAGACTTAGATCGAGTTCGGAGATGGACAATATCGGTCCACTCCTTCTGGTACCTCCCCCACAAAAAATAGAAATTTTCAAAAAATATATTTTTTCCACAGAAAGAGAATCTATAATGCGATGTTGCTCCAATTTTGCAAATCCTAATATTTGCGTCAGTGCTAAGTCAGGTGTGAAAATGGATAATATCGGCCCACTACTCCACAAATGGTCGAAATTTTGAATAATTACAACTCTCATAAAATGTCGTTTATGAGTCAGATTGTCTTCAAATTTCACACATTCCAATATTTATATTAACCCAGGGTCTGGTGTTAAGATGGAATATATTGGTCCACTCCTTTTGGTACCTCCCCCAAACAAGGTCAAAGTTTTCAAAAAAAAAAAAAAAAAATCTGCTCAGAAAGAGAAGCGATTATCCGGGTGTGGTCCAACTTTAAAAATCCTAATATTTGCGTCAGTTCTAGGTTAGGTGCAAAAATGGATAATATCGGTCCACTCCATCAAGTACCTCCCCCACAAATGCTAAAATTGTTGAATAATTATAAGTCTTATAAAATGTGATGTAAGAATCCGATTGTCTTAATATTTCACACGTTCCAATATTTTGAAATATATCGGTCCACTCCTTCTGGTACCTCCCCCACAAAAGGTCAAAATATTGAATATCCATAAAGCTCATAAAACGCGAAATTAACGTCGGATTCCGTTTAGACTTGGCACATCTGAATATTTGTATCAACAAAGGATCTGTTAAAAAAAGGTAGAGATCGGACCATTCCTCCTGCTACCTTCCCCACAAAGGGTCAAAGTTTTGATAATCTTTTTTCTGAAAATCTAACAAAATGTAGTCTTGACATAAATTCATTTAACCGACAACGACATGAGGATGGCACCCTTTTTATTACATAACAGAATTCCCTGTATTCAGTCTTTTGCATCCTTTCAGGATGAATTAAAACATCTCCGCGAACTTAACTTTTATTTTATTGCTCCACAACTTAGTTCACTAGATGTTGAGTTTTGCTGCATAAATTCAGATAACACAGATATTTATGCATCCTGGTTAATATCGACACTAAGATGGCGCTCATATACAAAAATCCCATGCATTGCTTTTTTAACTTCTTGCATACTTCCTGGCCGAATTCAAAAATCTATATTCTCTAAGGTTTGTCCTCCTTAGTATTTTTTATTTTTTTTTTATATTTCACATGCATGTATATATTTCGCAAATATCGTGATGAAGATGGCGCTCTTAGTATTCCACAGCAGTGTTCCAAGTATTCTTTTGACATTATTGTATACTTCCAGGGCGACATTAAAAATCTCCGAAACATTAGAGTATGTTTCTTTGGTTCACTGGTTAGTTTCCCTTTCGGTGTTAATAATTGCTACCTTAATTTATATTTCGTAGACATGTATTGTTTGGCCGCTATGGACATGAAGATGGCGCTCTTTATATCATATAGCAGAAATCCAAGTATACAGGGCGAGATAAAAAAACTGCAACAAAGTCAAGCGCCATAATTTTTACATTTTTAATTTCCAATTTTATTGAATGAAAGCAAAAAAATAGCATCAAATTTTAGAATAAGGTTAGATTTGTTCGAATTGATGACCTTTGGCACGAATTATGGCCATCAAACGGCCAATGAAACCGTCACACGCTGCCCGATTGTTGCTCTGCGGTATTTTGGCCCATTCCCGGCGAAGCGCTTGCTTGAAGTAATCGACACTTTGGTATTTTTTAGTGCCAACCTTGCTTTCCAAAATAATTCAGACGAAACAATAGTCCAACGGATTGGTATCCAGAGATTTTGGTGGCCATTGTGCGCTGGAAATGAAGAGAGGAACCTCATTTTGTAATCATTTTTGGGTGGCGCGCGCTGAGTGCGATGGTGCTGAGTCCTGTTGGAGTGCCAAGGTTTGCGGCTCAAATGTTTGCATGCTCAAGGCTTTAATGCACCCTCCAGAATATTTTCACGATAATACGGGATGTCCGTCCCTCTATTCGTTTGTCCGTCTGTAGAAATCTCTCTAGCTTCCGAACGAAATGAAGTAGATCGATAAAATTTTACTCAAATGTATACTATGTCTACAGGACTTATGGTGTTGAAAATGGGTCATGTAGGTCCACGTTTTGGTATAGCCCCCATATAACGGAACTCTCGATATTCGGTATTTTGATGATTTTAGCGACATTATCCACCGGAACTATTTAAAATTTGGTATTTGAAGTTCGTAATGGGTGCTACAGCCTATGACAGAAAATTGTCTATGCAGGTTCACATTTTGTAACCCGCATGGTACCTCCCTATATTTGTTATTTTGATGATTTTAGGTAAATTATAAACAGATTTTTTTCAAGTTTCGCATTTGGATATTGTAATAGTTTATGACAATTGTTAACTATGCAGGTCCACGTTGTCGTATACCCCTAATATACGGCTACATTCGGTATTTTTAAGATTTTAACATAATGTTTATCGGATTCTATTTTTTTTTGAAAATTGCTAATTTGTACCAAATGGTGGAGGGTGTTCAAAGTTCGGTCCGGTCGAACTTACAGCTTTTTTTACTTGTTCTATCTTTCCTGTGAAAAATTCAAAAATTTTTGAACTCGAAAGATTGAGTCATGATTATTCAAACTGTTGACCCTTTATGGGGGAGGTTCCGAAGCAGTTGGCCAATATTGACCAATTCCTATCTGACCTAAGACTGATAAAAATATTACAACGTGCCAGATTTGGACTATATCGACTACTTTCTATAATTTATATAAGCGTAAGGTAACAGATATAGCGGACCGAAATATTCTAGTTTTTATACTTCATCTATTTGAAGGAAATCGAACATTTATATCTAATTTTATGCGAAATCATAAATTCCGATTAATTACATATTCATAACAGAAATATTTAGATATAGAAAGTTGTAAAGAATTTGAAATTGTGACTCTTTGTTAGTGAGGTACCAGAAGGGGTTCGCAGATATATATCATCTACACATTAGATTATTATTATTTGGATGTTTGACATTTGAAGAGAGTTGGATGCTCATTACGCATTCTTTGAGCGTATTGGTTTTCAAAATCTTGAACCCTATGTGGGAGAGGTACCAGAAAAAAGGATCCGATCTCTACCATCTTTATAAGATCCTGTTGTTGATGGTAAAATTGAGATGTACAAAGTCTAAATGAAATCGAATGTTAATTTCGCGTTTTATAAGCTTCTTGAATATTGAAAATGTTGAACCTTGTACGGGGAGGTCCCAGAAGGAGTGGCCGATATACCTCAATTTCACACCAGACCTTGGGTTAATAAAAATATTGTAATGTGTGTAATTTGAAAAGGACCGGATTACTATTTCGGATTTTATGATCGTTTTTGTTATTCAAAACTATGACCTTTGCGGGGGAGATACCAGAAGGAATGGTCTGATTTATACCATAGTTTTTTAAGAGATCTTGTGTTGATGGAAATATTGAGATGTGCCACTTCTGAAGGCAATCGGATGTTAATTTCGTGCTTTCTGAGCTTCATGAATATTCAAGATTTTTACCC